CAGCAAGACCTCATGTCTACAATAAATCAAAAAATCAGCCGGGCGTGGTAGCGCATGCCTGTAATTCCAGGTACTTGGAAGGCTGAGGCGGAAGGATCGCCGGAGCCCAGCAGGTCCAGTCTGGGCGACAGAGTGAGACTTCAACTCAAAAAAAAAAAAGAGAATGACCAAGGATAAATCCAAAGTCTTAGCCTTTCAAGGTGTGGTTAACAGACACAGAGGAGTGGATTGAGAAAGACAGGAAACTGGGAGGTCTATTTGGAGGCTCTTGTGTATGAGATGATGAAAGAATGAACGAGGCTGATAGTGGGGACGTAGGGATACAGATGGATTTTTTTAAGTTGGGGAAAATTGACAGAATAAAAGAATGAAAGTTTCATACCAACATTGTGTGGCAGTATCCCCAGAGCCATTCTCCCTTTCATTAATGGTATAAATTTTTAGCTGAATACATGGGTGCCCAGCCAAAGATTATACTTTCCAGGTTCTCCTGCAGCTAGATATAGCATATGATCAAATTCTGGACAACTGAGTGTGAACGAAAGTGATATTTACAACTTCTGCATTGTGCCCTGAAAAGGCATTTCTCTTTCCCACTGGCTTCCATAGCAGAGATGAGAGCTACCAAGTTGAACCCTGAAATGTACAATGAACACTGGATGGAACAACAACAAAGTCAAATCACACACCAATCCATGATTGCCCAGTTTTATTAATAAGAGAAAAATACATTTCCACCTCATTTAAGCTTTCATGTTTGGGGTTCACTTTGTTGTAACTGCCTAACCTATAGCAACTAATACAAATTCTTTCAGATATTCCAAGAGCAAAGTCTTAACCGAGTGTTACCAATCCCATGATACTAGGACAGTATTCAACAGAAAAGGATTTAATTCCAACCTGCCTATGCTCGTTTGTTCTTAAAATACCCAAACAGTATTTAAGTTTCAGTGCCCTGAGTCACTGCACACAAGGCTCAAATTTAGAGAAAACTGCTGCTTATGGAACTAATGTTTATTTAATAATCTATTATTTCTCTTTCAATCAGGAGGCCCAGTTCTCCATCATATCTGAAGCAGAGACATATTATGTAATCTGCCTTGTACAGAAAACAGCATCACCAATAAATTTCTAATTCTCCACACAACCCAGCCACCACTTCCTGATTGATTGATGAGCCAAGACTGTGATGACAAACTCTCCTCACCCAAAGGAGACAAGATCAAGTTCTAAGCTGGCACTGAACAAAAACATATACTTTATTCAAAGGCAATTTCTAGCTGTGTAGGAGTCTAATAAATCATGACTGAATACAGAAGGGATTCAGCTGAAACCTGCACAGCCTCAGATGTGCAGCCAACACTGCAGCTCTAGCCATCAAGCCTTTATAGGATCACTGATCTAAATGCACAAGTCCATATGGGTAGGCTATCACCAGTGATGCTTTGAAGTGATGTCTGCATCCCCACTGCATGAAATCCACCAGTCCACAACCACAGTGATTCAACCAAGCATACTTTTATTTATTCCTTTCCTGAATATCAAACTCAAGATATCAAACAACTGTAGAGAAGCAAGTGAAAAAAGGTTCAGTAGAAGTTCATGGCAAAAATCATTGTTGGTGCGTTATCAAATGCAGAAGACTGGAGCACTCTGGGAAATAGTATATTCCTTCAGTAAAATGCCCTGACATCTGGGAAGATTCAGGGCAAGCAGGTGTATTTCCTCCAAAATAGGCCACATGTAGGCATTTGTCTAGGCAACGACAGCACTTGGCTAACTGTGAAGTAGTGACATTAAGATTAATAAAGTCGAAAGGAAAGGGACCATGATATGATTAAGATCATTGAAAGAACAAATATTTATTAAGCATTTCAAGTCAGAGAGAGAGAGAGAATGCCATGTGACAAAACAGAATCTCTGTTCTCAAGGTGCTCAGGGTCCAGTGTGGAAAACAAATCAGCCAGCTATCATAGTAGCGTGCTCAGTGCCAGAAGGAAATAGAGTGATACAACAAGTGGGAGGCAGCTCACATCAACTTTAAGAAGTGGGCACTAGGATAGCCTTTCCTAAAAGAGGTAAACCTCAGCAGAAGCCAGACACATGCTGATGGCCCGTAAACACAGAACAGGGATGACATCTGCCTAGAAAGGTATCCTTTCAAAGGGGTGAAATGGGGTTGATGGTTGCCTATTTAATGGGGGTAAAATGTGGCTCATATATCAAAGATTGACTTTGTCACCACAATTTACGTGGACAATGTAAGAGGTCATTACATAAATTTTGGTAGAAAGGCAGATTAGTGAAAAAAAGGAAACAGAAGATATTTAGTGAATTTGCACCATTTAGAAAATCCAGCCTCATGGAAGGAGCTTAGAATTATCTAGTACCAATTCTGTCACCATCAGGAGTATGCCTAAGTAGTCAGCCACAGCAGATGTGAAATTGTCATTACTATGCAGTGGCCTGACATTCAGGAGGCAGGCTGTCTCTGCCCACTTCTGCAGCCAATGACAATCTTTATGGAGAGGCTTGACTTTCCTGCCTATCTTTTCTTCTGAAAATGAGGATGTTGAATGAGAACAATGATTTTCAAAGACTTTTTATTGTTACAATAAAGTAAAAACTGGTATTTTTCACAATGACCTGCTAAAATACCTATCTTTATGAACTTCAGTGCATTTGCTATTTTTCTAATTCATTTCTTTAAAAAAAAATTGCTGGTAGAGCCACTAAGCTCACTTCGTGTCCCAAAGTTTGTGACCTGTGATCTGAACAGTTCCAGACTTGGTCATCCTCAAGGGCCTTTCCAACCCCAATCCTGGTCATTGTCTATATGACCACCCAATATTTAGCACACAGGGACCTTTTCCTATGATCCTCATGGCCGTGGTGTAACATGGGCAGGGGAGCTTATGAGAGTCATCACAGACCGCACGGCCAGGGCAAGATGGCATTGGGACCAGAATCCAGCAATTACCCAATAGCATCACTGCTTGCCCTGTTCAGGAGCTCTTCTTCTCTCAGCAAATTCTACCTTCTGAACACTCTCTGCCCTAAAGCTTCAACTTAAATGCACTTCTTGATCTGTCAAAGGTGGAATGCAAATTTAGTAAACATATTCCAAGAATTTAATGTTAACTTTAATGTGTGTGCCCTTGCTAGATCCTTCAGGAACTACCCTGTGCTGATCACAGGTGCCTGAAACTCATTCTTTGGCCTGGAAGAGCTCTCATTCTAGTAGAAAAAAGTACTCCCACAGACTGACCACTAAGCACAGCTCTGAAGACCCTTTCAAAGTTGCCCTTCCCATTTGTTTCTTAAGTGATGACCTCATTGCTCTGTTTAACCTCAGCACAATCTTCCCACTGGGTGGTTGGCACCAAGCCTCGAGCCTTCCCTGGAGACTCCGTGCTGGAGGAGAGCGGGACAACTAGAGGGTGGTACTCCAGTGGGAAGAGAAGGGCACCCACAGTACCCCCAGGCAGTGCGGCTCCATCTGTCCCTTCCCCCTGGGGAGCTGTAAATAATGAGGTGAAAGACTCCACTGGATGGAGCCTGATGATGAGGCTGACATTGCAGAGGCAGAGCAGAGAGCAAGGGAGAATCTGCATCTTTTGGAATGCCATCTTAACTTCTGGGTCAAGGCTTGCCTGCAATCCTTCCTCTACATCTTTTTAGTTAAAGGATTGTTTTGTTTACTTAAGCAACTTTTCATTTTCTAACACTTACTACCAAAGTAATTCAAACTGATACAAACACTTAAATACTGTGGAAAGTGGTACATATAATTCAAGGTCTCTTTTGGAAGAGTGGAGGCCAGTGTGATAGAAGTTGAGACAAAGGGTTTTTCCTTAGTTCCTTCTATTAATTCTGCAGGAAACAATCACAATGCTTAACATTGGGTAGTTGTTCCTACTTCTCAAAAAATACCTTTTTTCACACAGATTTCCTCATCTGAATTTCACAGAGTCAGAACAATTATTAAAATTTTTATTTTGCAGTAATTGTTATTTATTCAGTACTCATATGGTTTAGCATAGTATTTCAAATTCAGTGATTCATGAGTGTCACAAAAGCCAAATGAGGTAGGAATGGTGAATTTATCATTATATCCATTTTAGGCTTGAGAAAGTTAGGCCTCAGAGAAATTAAATGAAATACCCAAGTTAATCTGAGTTGAAGAAGGAGGCAGTCCTTACATCTAGGACTCTTACTTCTCTCTCTCAATCTTCTGAAGCAAAGATAGTGAACTCTATTTCCAGAAACAAATGTGTGTGCTCTTATGTTAATACACAGGGATTAGCAGTAGGCTGAGCTTGACCAAAGCACTGGAGATCTGAATTTCGGTGGCCAAGTCAGAACTAACTAGCTGCTGACCTTGAGCAAGTTACTTTTGTCTTTTTTTTTTTTTTTTTTTTGTAAACGGAGAGGGTTGAACTAGAATCTCTGATGCTCCTTCAAGCTCTAAAATTTGTACAATTCTAAACCTTCTTGACTCCTCGTCAAATTAATCTTTTCCCTAGAATAATAATCATAACCTCAGTTGACATTTGTTCTCCCACTGGATGCCGGGTGCTGTGCTAAGAACTCAGTCTCCATTTTCTCTTTAAATCTCTCAACATTCCTCGGACTCTTGTATCTCTTTTACAGATAAGGAAATTTGGACTCACAGAGATTAAATAATCTGCTCAAGATGGCCAGAGTTAGTGAGCATCAAGGGGAATGTGACCTCAGATCAAACTGACCATGAGGACCTTAGCCTGGTCTGCATTGCTATGGCAGAAGAAATTACGCTCCCTGCGTTACTGGTCACCTCTCTCCACGCATAAGGGAGAGGAGGGGACGAGAAAGGCAGACGAAGTTACACCAAGCCCTTGCAAGGCAAAAAACAGACAACCGCTGGAAGGACGCCCGGCTCCTTCCCAGGTCCAGGGGGCGGGGCGCATTCCCCGCCAGCCATGCGGACGCAAGCGGGCCATCCCACCAGGGCCCGTTACCTTGTTGAGATGAGGGTTCCTGGTGAC